TTGTATTACTTTCGAAGGCTTCTAAATCTTGAATGGTTTGTTTTAATAGTTTTAGGGCGTTTTTTTTCCTGTCCTCTCCTTTTACAATTACTATCTCAGTGGTTCATTTTTGTTCCAATAATCTTTCTAATTCCTTAACAGCAGCCTGTCCCTCAGGGCTATTATCAGGAGCAATTTCATCTTCTGGAAATAAATCATAATTAGAAATAGTGGCTACAATTCTTTCAAAAGTTTCTCGACCTTGTTCGGCATTACCAGCGGGATTAAATTCCTGGTTTTTAGTTTCTTCTATCTTTTGGTATTGTTCCATAACTGCGGAATGAAAATCACTTCATCCTTTTTCTCGTTCCTCTTTACTCATTTTAGAAATACCTCTATCTGCTTTTTGTTCGGCTTGATTTTTCAACTCCTTTCCTTGACCTTCTAGAACCGCGTGAAAGTGGTATAATAAGGGAATTAATTCAGGCGGGCAACTGTCGACCCTAATTTTAATAGCATCAATTCACTGATAAAACTTAACTTTTAATTCCTCCTTGGGAAAAAATTTATTTTGCGGAAGCCCTAACATTACTCTTAGACCATTTAAAAAATATACAAAATTTTTTTTAACTTTGATAGCATTCATGGAACCAATATCCGACCGCGTAATCGAATTATCATGTTTCTGCTTCCTTGTCAGCCAGTCAGAAAAATAATTAGACTTTTCAATAAATTTTTCTAACCATTCGATTGTTTCCGCGAAAGTAATGCGAATTATTTGGTTATTTTCTTCATTCATAACAGGTTTTTAAATACTTTTCTTTTAATTTAATTTTACCTTTATTCTTAAAAACTACTAATAACTTTACCGCACTTGTATCTCAAAAAATAAAGTTAGAGAAAAAAATAAGTTAAAAATTTAGGCAAAGGCAGAAATTAAATTTGAAAAATCTGAAATGCTCGAAAGAAAAGGTTTGACTTAGAAAAGGATATAAAAATGATAACGATTTCGTTGGGTTTCAAGATTTTAAAAACCATTTAACCTAAGAAAGGAGAGATGTTATTTTTTATCAAAAAAAGTATTCAAGAATTAAATCGCTTTCTTTTCCTAGTAAATCACTATCAAGTTAAAAGCAAGAATTAGTTTACTTTAACTAGATAAAAAAAAGAGGCATTATTGAAAGATAAAACAAAATAAGCAATAGTATATCTCACCATTGAAGATTTTTCTTGTTTAGCATAACAAAAAGAACTCTGGAAACCAAAATAGAACCAAAAAAAATTGTAAAGGCGAAAGATAAACGAATAATTCTAAAAAGGTCTGCTCCTCCTTTAATTCCAAACATTTTACATTATTCGACAGGTTTCTTTTAGTGGAACCTCTTGCAAACACCGTCTTTCAATTGCTTTGGAGCGGTCATTGGTTTTTCATCCTAATTTACCATTTGTTTCACTCATTTCGTTAGTTAGTTTAATGGTAGAACCTTTTCCGTTGTTAATACTGTAATTATTGGTAATAATAGAAAGAAATCCCCCTAAACTTCGAACAATATTTTTGGCAATAATTACATCTTTATTATTCTCAATCTGTTCCGAGTAATTTACCCCGTAAACAATCATGTTGGCAAAATGCTCGCAATTACGATTGGCTAAATCATATTCGCCTCTACGGAATTTAGCATCTTCTGCCCAAGCAATTTGTTTGGCCATCTTTTGATAGTTTTTAAAAGGTATCATTGGATGATAACGAGTTATTTCTCCATTACCCTTATGATAATCTTCTATAAAAGTGCTTCATCAATCAATTCTCGCCACATTATCTTTTTTAGTGAAATGGCAAACCAAATTATTACCTACATAAACTCCGACATGTTTGTAGTCTCCTTCATCTACCTTAACAACATCTAGCGTTTTAAAGTATAAACT